CCGTCACCGCGGGCTCCGCCGGGGCGGCTCTGGGGTCGCCCACCCTCGGGGTGTCACTCTGCAGTCGCCCAGTTTTCCACCGAGGATCAAGGGGGGGAAGGGCAGCAGGATCCGGAGGAGGCCCCGCGGCCACGCCGCCACCGCCACGAAGACACGCCGGGCTCGGGGCACGCGGCGAGCTGGAGACCGAGCTCCCCGGCCGGGACCACCCGGGCGGCAGCGGGTAGTCCGTGGCGCCTCCGGGTAACCCTGTGGCCGCAGCAGTGGCGGCCGGAGCAGGCTGCGCGGGGTTCCAGCCGCTGGAGGAGGCTCCGGGGCGATCGGGGTGACCGGCGCCCAGGCGGTCCAGTGCCTCGTGTGTTCTTATTTGTTCACCTCTGACTATGCAATTCTGAAGCCTCCCCCATTCGGGGGACCCGGCAGCCCGACCGACACCTTCCACCCGCCTCGCGCCCTGGTCTCAAAGCACAGAAGGATCGCTCCCTAACGCCTTTCACCATTAAGAGGAAAGCGATGGAGGAGCTGAGCGCTGATGAGGTGAGGAGGTTGGGGGACACCTGGGGAGAGGAGTTGGCAACTCTTTGGCGCTTTGGAAAGGGGTGATCTTGGGCCAGAGGCGAGGGGACGGAGATGACATTTTCCAAGGAGGAGGCGAGTCCCCCCTGAGAGGGTCCCCGGTTGTACTCTCCCGTACCCCTCGCCTTCTGCCTTCATCCTGGACTCCATTTGCTTCTTTTCGAATCTTCTCTTCGGGCCTGAAGAGAAGAGCCTATCGCGGCGTTTATTCTTTTCTTCGGGGTATTGAAGCAACAAGGGCTAGATTCACAGCAAGTTCAATGTGTGCGCGCCCGCGCGTGCGCTCGCGCCTGGCTGCTGCAGAGATTTAGAGAATTAATTTTGGGGTGAAGTCGGAATGTGTGTCTGCATTTTTAAGGGAAGTATTTGAAAACCCCAGTGTGTATGGCTACTTCATTGTGTAAGTTGATTAAGCACACGTTTGTGTTTGGGGGCGGCCTGCAGACAGATTATTTGATATTAATAAAAACACACACACACCATGTATATTCTCCACAGCTTAGTGAATTCCAGTTAAATTCTAGTGATTTCACAGGCCACTTATGACTCCTGGCCCACTTCTCTTTAATTCAGCCTTTTTTTCCTGGTTTTTGTCCCTTTCAAACTTGGTTTTGCTGTAGCAGACAGGGAACGACAAGCAACTGGAAGCAAATGGCTTTGTAAAACTGCCCCTGTTACGATTCTGAAGGGAGTCTTACAGATTCCTTTCTTGATGCTTTAAACTTTAAATAATCTGAGGTTATTTAACATGATTGTCATAAAAACAGTGGCAGTTAGGGTACAAGGAATTTTCATGTGATTCTCCTGACTTCTCCCTTTTCACAAATTGGACCCCTCCCAGGACCCCTGCTGACCTCCCTCTCTTCAATCTCTACCTCATTTCTTCCGCTGGTTCATACAGAACTTCCCTAGAGTGTTGTGAAAGCAGCCATCCATCACGTTGGTTGTACTATAAAACTTCTATGCTTCAGTTTTAGCTACAGAGTTTCAATGTGCAGGGTGTGGAGCAAGAGTAGGCTTACAGTTGCTCATATGGAAAGTAAGACAATATTTAATAAAGAACAATACAGAAATAAACTGGGTTTTCTGTACCCCAAACTGTAAACCTTTCGCTCCACCCTGTATTTACTTGGTAACAAAAGTTCTCTAGGGATGGGGCATGCAAGTGGTGGGTTAAGGGTCAGGTAGGAAAGGAAGCAAATAATTTTGTTGATTGTGCTACTTGGCTGTTTGCAAAGTCGGGATTGCCCATTCTGTGTTACTGTCTCTGTTGTCTCAACTGCATCAGGAGCGTAATCTTAAATTAGGAGACTATTGGACAGTTTCTTTTATTCAGGCAGGAACTATGCGTTACCCTTAGGGGCACTTAGTTTTATGTAGTTTTTACGTGTCCTCCTCCCTTTTTTCTTTACTATTAATTCTAATAGTAGTTTCTCTTAAGACAAAGAATCTGTGTTTTTTAATAGTCCTTTACTTTTTTTTTCCCCTTGACATTCTCTAAATTGTCCCTGGTTTAGAAGTTTTTACATACTTGACTTTTCACCAAGCAATTGTTATCAAACCAATAAAGCATACAGACCAGTTAAAGATTCTGTATATTTGAACTGTGGCTCTTCACTCTATCCAGTCCTTGAGGAAGGTCTAACTTTTTTGTGACCATATAAGGACAAATGTAATGGTAGTGGAGGAGATAGAAAAACATCTATCAAGATCAACAGAATATTAAAATCATGCGAGCATCATAATTCGCGAATATAAGATCAATCTAAAATTATGTTCAACAAATTAGTTGGCCTCAATACAAAGGGGTAGTTAAATACCTGGTAATTTTACTCTCAGCAGAACCTAGAACAGTTTTTGGTTTGTTTTTTTAAAAAAATCTTCTTAAGGTGTGTTTTTTTTCCCCCTCCTTAAATCCATTTCCTTTAATTCTGCGATTAGGTGAGCGGTTGTCAACAGAGATATTTCCAAAGCTTTTGTCTTTGCATTGTCACTCTATTGGTGGGAACTTCTGTCGCCGACAGGGTAGGTGACATTCATTTAGTTAGAAAATAATACACTTATGTTACTAAAAATTCAAACATACATCTCAGGGTGAAATCAGGCAAGACTGTGAGTGATCTTTCCATCTAAAATAGGGAGTTAGGCCAGGCAGAGTTTCATCTTTTTAACAAAATGAAAATGTATGAGGATATCGTCCAAGATAAATAGACGCTGCTGTAACCAGACTGGTAGCTCTAGAAGATTTTACAGTCTGGCACTTTGGGGTCTCTCATAGATCACCTTGAGTTCTTGTACATTTCTTCTCTTGTGCTTTCAAAGTAGAGTAGTTGGTTAACTTCATTGCTGCTCTTTCTGTGTATAGCGCATGGCAGGCAATTCATTGCTCTGCGGAGCAGATCTATGACTCAGTTCATCCTCGTCATGAGCCCACATTCCAAAGGGTCATTATTTACATTATATTCATTCTGCGCCCTGCTCAGGTGGTGTTTTTCATATACCAAACTGGTGCTGTGAGTAGGGCAGGTATTTTAAACTGTTTTCAACTGTGGTGATGAAATTGCATTGAAATGACTCGCTTTTTTTTTTTTTCTTTTGTTAAATCTTTATGACCTGGTTCATCTTCAAGATGGCTGGCTGGGGTTTAGGGTGTGGTCAAGGTTTTAGAAGAGTGGTAAGTCTTCCCTCTCAAATGTAGAATATGGGACTGTTAATGTAAAAACATTCAAACCTGTAAAGAATTTTTGTGAGTTTATTTGAGCCAAACTGTCGAAAATTGCTGGGAAGCAGAATCTCAACAGTTTGGGATAATGCTCCGGAGAATGGCTTTTTTTAAATTTTTTATTTTTTACCTAATTTTATACTTTTCAATCAAAGGAGGAGACATAGGTGGGTTATAGGAAATCTGTTGCTGGTAGATTAGGGAGGTGGGAGAAAGCAAAGCGTGTAAACCTCTGGGATGGATAAAAAGTAAAATGATAGACACATTACTTAGGTGGGTACAGGACAGTTAACAGTCAACAATTAACATGATAACAATAACAAGGAAGGAATTTATGGTGTCTGTCCTGGCACCAAGATCATTTGGTTGTATCCTGAGGGGTCCAGAAAAAAGGAAAATTACAAGTTACCTTGACATTTCAATGATATGTTATTGTAGATGCAAAAAGACAGTAAGCTCAGTCAAGGTAAAAATTGACCTTGTCAGGGCCCATACCGGCCTAGGAGTTGACTACCCACCATAACTGCCCTTAGTTAAAGTTTAATTTCAGACCATCCTTTGTGGTCACCCTAGGTCAGGGGTGGGCAACCTTTTTGTGAGTGCGTGCCAAAACCAGCAAAATCTCTGACTCAAAATTCTTCTGTGTGCCAACCCTAATTTTTTGAGAACATGTTACACCTACTTGATATCTCTTAAGGTGTACGTATGTGAAGAACCTTGAAGAAATAATAAAATTCATTCGAGTGACAAAAACACAGTATATGATGATGAAAAATACATTTATTTTTTAATGTATACATGTACACTGATAGTCTGACAGAAAACTTTATGACTGTGTTTGATATTATCAGTGGGACTTCTGCTGCATCACTGATGACAGAGATTTTACATCAGGTTTATATTTCATGACCTTCAGAGATATGCACGAGCTACTGCTTTCATCCGTCAGGCTACTCCTATTATGAGACTTAACAAAATTCATCACTGAGAACAAAGATTCACAAGCGTATGTGGATGAAACCAAAACACTGGTCGGATCTAGGAAGGCAGGGAGAGTTAAGGCAGAAGCATAGAAATTGTTCTTCCCCTCTCTTGTCGATCCATGTCTATGGTCTTTAAGATAACTTGTTATGTAAAATTATTTATTTATCTAAGATGCACCTACACTGAATTTATCTGAAAAATAAAAAAGTCGATATTAAGAAAAAAATTGTAAATGGAAGATTATAAGAGAGGGTTTCGCGTGCCAGCAAGAGTTACTGGCGTGTCATGTTTGGCACGTGTGCCAGGGGTTGCCCACCCCTGCCCTAGGTCCTTGAGTTTGCAAGACTGCCGTGCAGGCCTTCCCTGAGCTGGCCAGGGTAGCATGTGGCCCCTTTCGTCCACAGGACCTTGAACTTTTAGTTGCACTCTCTTAGTGGAAAGGGACTGACATTTAAAAAAATACATGTTTTTGTTGATTTCAGAGAGGAAGGGAGAGGGGAGAGAGAGAGAGAGAGAGAGAGAGAGAGAGAGAGAAACTGATGTGAGAGAATCATTGATCACCTGCCTCTTGCACTCCCCCTGCTAAGGGTGGAGTCCACAACCCAGGCATGTGCCCTTGACTGAAATCAAACCCGGGACCCTTCAGTCCGCAGGTCGACGCTCTATCCACTGAGCCAAACCAGCTAGGGTAAGGGACTGATATTTAAAAAATAAAATCTCTATTGTTGAAAGTATTACATTGACCCCCTTCTAGCCTGCCCTAGGCCTTCACCACCCTATTGTTTGTGTCCATGGGTTATGCATATACACATACGAGTTATTTGGTTGATCTTTTCCCATCCCCTCCACTGAGATTCGACAGTCAGGAACCAACATTTATTAACAGCTTAGAAGCCTGGTCTGTGTCAGGCTCTTTGCCACCATTGTCTCATTTGATAAAGACTACAATCAAGGAGGTCCTTCACTTTCTCTTATTTTATAGGTGCGGCAACGGAGGTTTAGATTAAGTAATTTGTCCATAGTGACCTGGCTTAGAAGTGATAGAGTTGGAGTTCAAACTCAGCTTTCCTTATCTAAAAGCTTTTTTTTTAAATTACACTTTACTGCTTAACAACTGGCAATAAATACATCACAACTTCTATATAAACTAGAGGCCCAGTGCACAAAATTAGTGCATGGGTAGGGTCCCTAGGCCTGGCCAGCGATCAGGGCCTATCTGTGGGGCACTTGGTGGGTCCCCCGCTGGCACCCGCCT